GTTTCTTCCTGTTAAAAGGGAGTTTTTCCTTCCCACTGTCGCCAAAGTGCTGCTCATAGGGGGTCATATGATTGTTGGGTTTTTCTCTGTATGAAGCGCCTTGAGGCGACTTTTGTTGTGATTTGGCGCTATATAAATGGCAAAGACAAATGTAACTGAATAAATACAAAGAAAAATCATCACTAATGTCTTTGAATTAATGTGATTTAATTTTGAGGGTAAAGCAGCACGTGGCTGCTTCCTGTCTCACAGTTGAAGCTCGGCTCACAGGAGGCAACAGTACTCACGATAGAAGTACTGCAGTATCTTAGGACAGCTGTGCAGTAACACAAATCCTCACTGATCTTAGTCACCTGAGGCCACATTTATCTTGTTTCTCCAAGATAGAAACAATTAATATACAGTGGAACCCCGGCTACGAAGACGCCATTTAACGAAAAATTTACGTTACGAAGGCTTAATGGCAATATTTCTGCCCGTGGTACGACAAAACGCCCGCGTAATGAAACGCGTTTCGCTGTGTGAAAGACGTATTGTTGTTGCAGTGCTACTTTGTGTGTTTTTTGTTCGCAATCAGCCTGTCGTTCATTCAAAATGGGGCCGGCGTAAATATGAGCGAGTTTGAAAAAACATTGCAGTGCACGCACATTAACATAAATGTAAGTTTTAAAGTTTAGAATTTAATTCCATAATGTTATGTACACGTACACGTACGTGTGCTTTCTGCAGCCTCCACCAAGAACGTCGTCTTCAGCATCGCCTCACTCACTCAAAAAGGAGCTTCGACTTACGAAAGACCCTCTGGAACAAATTAATTTGGTAAGTCGAGGTTCCACTTTTATATAGAAATAAGTAACGCTGGTGTACAAGCTCTCTGTATCTGCATGTTGTTCTAGTTAAATGAATGATGTCACCTGCTAACTGCTTCATTATTCAATCTTAATAGGTGCTCGTGTGTCCTGGTTTCTCACAGCAGCTCTTCCACCTGATGTCTCCATAAATGTTCATGTTCATGCAGAAACTAAAGACCACACGCAGCCCGTGATGGCGGTGACCTCTAACCCCGATGATGCGAGACACTGACTTCCTCTCTGATCTGTTACCAAGTAAAAGTCAAGCTTTGATACTAATCTGATACTTTGTACAAAAACTTCATGTGTTTGGAAAATCTAAAGTGGTTTATTTCAAACGATGCCCTTCATAACACTGAAGTATAGAGAAGTGTGATGAAGCTCCACCTTCTCCATCAACATGGAGCAAACACACCATCAGCCTTTACTGTCAACTGAGTCCCACGTGAGCCGTGACACAGTCCAGCCGCATTGCACATCTCACTATGAAAGGCGGAAGAAAAAGTAGTTCCTACCACTCATACGTTTCAAACGTGGGAGGGATACAAGTATTTCTACATGACTGTGGATTTAAAGCAAACGTTAGTGAATCACCCAAACACACACTTCTCAAAAAGCCTGGTTGAACATCACCATCACAATTTTGTCACGAGGACAGAAAGTCACCACAACACCTCCAGCCTCAGGAAACAGGTGAGGTGAGCAGGTGTTCGACCTGCTTCCCTCTGGTACGACGAGAATAAAGGCTGTTCTGTTCAGCATGCTGTGGTGCTGCCTTTGTCCTTACCGCCAGCAGATCCAGCCCATTCTTGTCCAGGTTTTTCACCATGGATGAGAGGTTGCCAGATTTCCATTTGGGAAAAGTGTTTTTGTAGTCCGGCAGACTCTCAACATCCGGCCACACATCGTTGTTTGGGGTTCCCAGCGTCCTGGAAAAAGACAAATGCAACAAAGACTCCAGGGTCAGTTCGTTTGTTTCCATGAGCCACAACGTGTTAAAACCCCGCAGACAGTCTACAGCTGACGCTTCTGACACACAGACACACTCGTGTTGTTTTAAATAGCTGCCAGAATAATGTGAGGACAGCACCAGTGTGAACACTAACCCCGCCGTACAGGCCCAATCTCACCAACCCCTGCTTCTCCACACAATCCAGGCTGCCTCGAACTGTAGGAAAGACTTCACCTGACATCAGCTCCGCGTTAGGACATCAACGTGACATTAACACTAACACAACTTCTCTGGCTCTACACCACAAATGTCAACAACAGATTTATGTGTTTAAGCACTAACGTTTGCTATAACAACAACGTGTAGTTGTTCACCACACTTACATTCAAAGGCTTCATCCTGATGAAGTAATGATGTAGAAGAAGACCAGGTACCAGATGTGTTAACTGTGTCAATCACAGACACACACACGTGTGAGGCTGCTGTTCCACCTAATTACTTTTTTATCCACGCAGCTAGAGACAGCTGAGGGTGACGCTGTGCTCCACGATGAATTATTCATGTTTCAAGGTAAAAAGACTCAAGGAAGCCACGGCTCAACTGTCATGGTGCGAGGTGCACACTTAGGGTGGTGGATCCAGGAAGACTGCGCGAGTGTGCACATCAGCTGTCCGTGGTCTTCACTAAGATCATCACCGTCCCAGGCCTTCAGCCCACCCCCCCTGAATTCAGCCACAATCGTTCCACTACCCAGAGAGACCACAGGCAGCCTGAACTGGCTGCTGTGCTGCTCTGCAGACTGAAACTTCAGCAAGGCTGACCATCAGCATCGGCTGGAAGTGCATGGATGGAGCTCCAATGGAAGTCAACACCCTGAGAGAAGAAGGCCCATCAGCATCTCCACTTACTGAGGGATCTAAAACTGAACAGGGAGCTGGTGACGTCTGCGTCTGTGTGGTTCTTGAGCTGTGCACACAGGGAGGCACTTAGAGGGTCATTAACAGAGGCCAAAACACTCATTACTGGCCCCCTCTTCTCCTCCCTGGAGGAAACCCATCACTGTGGTGACCTGCACCCACTCAGGACACCAGGTGTTTAAGCTTCGGTCCTCCCACAGGAGATCCAGGACGCTGAGGTCACTGACAACCAGACCTCAGCCCTAATCAATGCTAACAGCTCTGTGCATACTGTATATACACATGGTATTTATTGTGATTGTCTTGCCTTTAACAGTGATAAGCTACACTCACTACAGATCTGACAGTTGTGTTTACAGTCAGACTGCAGTGTTTAAGAGCCACACAAAGCAGGGACAGCCAGTCCTCGTAAGTAGGGCTGCTCAATTAATCGAATTTTAATCTCGATTACGATCTGGGCTTTCAACGATCATTAAAAATGAGCCGATTATTAGCCCCTCCCTCGTGCTTTACTCTCGCGCTGCTCCGTGTGGCAAATCGAGCGCACCTCTCTGCATTTC